GCCCCCGGGCCGCAGCTGTGCCCCACTCTTGCCACCGTGAGGAGGGACCTCCAGGGCGCCCCACTGGGCCGGGCGCGGGGCCCCCACGGGGAGGCCTTTCGCTAGGACCGGAGCCCCGCTCCTTCTTCCAGGGCCCAATGGCTTTGGTGACCCCTGGCCAAGAGAGCGCGCCAAACCCGGGGAGTGGCTCCCCGGCGTAGACACCTGTCCCTAAGCGCGTATCCCAGGCTCGGGTTGGCCCGAAGCCGTCGGTGTAGACTTGTGCACTCTCCCAAACAGGATGGCGCGGGTCCGCCTGGGCCTTTTTGGTAATGCTGGGGGAGGGGACAGCTTCCTTGGAGTCTGGATGCTAATAATCTAGTGGGAAGCGCTCAACTGCCAGGCGGTTACAGTGAAATGGGGCCAGGCAAGGGCTCTCCCACAAAGAGAGGAGGGCTGGGATTCTCCCGATAAAGCCACTGTGCAAAAGAATAGAATAGATACCTGGTCCCATGAGCTGAGTGTGGCGTTCAGGGCAACGTCAGCTGACTCCGCCGCCCCTGGGAGAGAATGAGGCCAAGCGGCCTTGACCACCACACTCTGCCTTTGGTGTCACCCAGGAAATGACCAGATGTGGGACCTTTGCCATTAACATCTGGAGCTGCTGCTGAAGGCAAGAACAGGGGTCCGGCGGGTGTGTCCGCATCCCTGACCCGCTGGCTGGCTGGCCCTTGGGTTGGAAGAAGCTGACTTTTAACCAAGGTGGCTGGCTCCAGGCCCTGTGTCCCTACAGTGACTGCTTATTTTTATAGTATGCCCCTTTGCTGAGAACCTAGTACTATCTCCTACTAATTCTTATCTACCTGCTTCCTCAAGACTTAAGTGCAATGTAGATCCCCAGATAAAGACGACTTTTGTGTAGCCAAGTTTGTCTTCAAAAACAGAAAGCACCAGCGGGTCAGAATTGGGCCTTCACCATCAACAATGCATTGCTTTTTCTCCCCTGTTTCTTGCTCCTAGATTTGTTTTGTTCTCTTTATTTCAACCTTTTGTAGTGAAAGTTGAATGTGCTGAATCATGAAATCTTACTGGAAGGGAAAAGTTATTTTTGGCCATTTATTTAGTAAAAAGCACTCTAGAGAATGCAACCCAGAAATGTACTTTATTATGATAGCTTAATGTAAGAAAAGAACTAAATAAGGAATATTTCCCCTTTGTCATCGTCACTTGGGAATCATTTTTAATGTGAGCCAGCATGAAACCATTTAAGCAATATGGAATATTTTAAGATATAAAATTACCCATGTTTTTAATAGCAGCTCACATGTATTGAATATTATGTGCTGGGCACCCAAGACAGGTGGGAAAGTTAAAGGACATGTCCTGGTCATACTACCAGGAAGCTGGGACTCCAACCCCACTGCTGGACTCCAGAACTCCAGCCATTACGTGGTTCAGCCACATGTGGCTTCAGAGGCGAAGGATGGGGAGGTTAGATGTCTTAAAGTCACTTTGCATGCATGGAGCCCTGAAATGGCCTTTGCTAAGTGTGCCCAGATAGGATGTGGAATGACAAAAAGGAGGCTAAGGGGATGGGTAGGATCCCTCTAATGTTGGGTTGGTGACCCTTCCTTCTCCAACCCTCCTCCTCTGCAATCTTACCTGCCCTCCAAAGGTGCCATCCTGGGCCTCCTTTCTCCAAATGCTCCTAGAGAATGGAGACCTGGCCTTACTCTTGGTAGATCCTTGAGGATTTCTTTTTCTTTTTCTTTTCTTTTTTTTTTTTTTTACGGGAATGAGAAATGAATGGAGAACATTTAGTCATGTAGGTAGTTGTTCCTGATCAAAGGCCTGGGAGAGGAATGGCACTGGTCACATAAGTTCATGAAGGAAATGACATAATCAGATGGGACAGTTTGAGAAAACCCATCACTTTTATGGGAAAGAGCTTGGCCATTGACCCGTTGACAGGAGACCAATGACCATACCTCCATATACAAACAACAGCACAGAGTTATCCTTTAGTAGGAATAATCACTGACTTTCTCCATGCCTCACTTATGGGATACGGTGATTGCTGCCCCCTTCGCTGCCCTCCTTTGTCCCACAAATATTCATGTAGGCTGGGTCAGGCTGTGCTCAGTAGTGAGCAAGGCCCTGCTCTCATGGTGCTTGAGGTCCAGCCTGTGGAGTGCGAGGACTCAGCTCTGAGATGTTTGCAGCAGGAAAGGCTTCGGTACATCTAACAGGCACATAAAAATCAATGTCCATCTCATCATCTGTCATTGTCCACATGTGTATGATCTGTCACTGGCCTCTGTACCCAGAAACAAATTCACAAACATCAATATTCAAACCTGTTTCAATATTTACTTTTATCTCTTTGTCCATAAGAAGCAATGTGCCTTGTGGTCCCTACTATCCAGCCAACATTTTAAGTGTGAGGCGAGGTGGGACTTTCCCAATGCCAAATTAGCACTAGCCCAAGGGTGCAGAGGAATGGAGGGGCCCCAGTGCAGAAATTCAGCAGAGGTGAAACTTGGTCACCTAATCCAGAAGTGAGAACTTAATCCTGGGCATTTTCAGAGGACAAAAGGTTTCAGCAATTCTTTGCTTTATTTGCTGACCTACTGTATGAAACACATCTGTATATGGATTCCCCCTGTGGGAAACTCCTGAACTTGGGACTCACCCATTCTCTTCATCTGGTTGATGAGTTCTTAGCAAGGAGCTGGACACAGCATGTGGGATCAGCAAATAATTGTTGAATTCATACAGATGTGATTCAACCTTAGAGACTTGGTATTGTGGAAAGTTTCACACACACACCCAAGTTGATAGACCAGGAAGACAAAATTGGCTCTTCTGCTCAGAACATTGTAGTCCCTCCACATTTCTTCTTGCCTATAAGGAAAAAATATTTTAATTAAAATGGCAACTGATTTGGTCAAATATGCCATGACCTGCTTCGTGACATTTTTGCTCTTGCATCCCAGTGGAGTAACCTGGGTGAGAGTAACAAAGGAAACCACCCGCTGTCCACAGAAGACAGCCAGGAAAAGCCACTTGTGGGATGGGGGTGGGGGTGGGAAGTGAGACCTGGGCAGTGGCGAGCAGCTATCCATGTGATAACAAGCCAGGCCAGGGGTGATGGGAACCAGCTTCCTAGGGCCTTTTGTGTTGGCCTGGGATGGTGGTTCCAGGATGAGACCCACCCCTCCAGTTTGTGGAGATGGCAGACTGCTTTCCCGAGACTCGATTCAAGCAACTCGATTCAAGACTGTTTGCAAGGTGTGAAGGGAGGCATTTGGAGTGACCCTGTGAGACACCCTGACCCTCCGTGGCCCCCACCACTGGCGTTCAAGGGAATATGATGGCAGTTCTGTCCTACAATCATTCATGAAGAGAAATCCTAGGGTTGTTCTAGGCCCATAAAACATAATATTTGAGAAAGAAAGACTGAGATGCATATGTTGATGGGGAAAAAAAAATCCTGTGATCATTGAGGCCTGTTTTCACCCTAACATATGTATATCCAACTCTTTATTTTTTCAGTATAGGCCTCTATATTTTCATTTCTCATTCCTCTATTGACCTAAAGCCTTGAAAGTCAACTCTTTTAAACCTATGACATGTGAATTACACCTCAGTTCAGAAGAACACTTTAATCTAAATACAGCAGCTGGTGCACGAAATGGTTGCCTGAGGCAGGGACTTGCATGCAGGTAGTTCGCCCAGAAGAGCTGGGAAGGGAGTAGGGAGGCAGGGAGGATATGGAGGCTAAGCAGAAGATGGCCTGACTGTGTGACCCTGCAGACCTTCCCATCACAAAGTGGAGCCAATCCCCTTGCCCACCCTTTGATTTTGAGTTGGGCTGCATGACTTGCCTCGGCCTCTGGAGGTTAGCCACTGTGTGGGATGTCCCCACTTCTGCTTTTCGTGCCTCTGTCTTCACTGTAGGAACAGACCCAACCAGCGACTATTATGGAATGGACACGTGGCACGGAGCCCAGTGGCCCCGCCAAGGCCATCCCGGACCAGCCGGCAGCCAGCTGACCCACAACAGGGGAGAGAGCCCACCAGGATCAGCAGAGCCATCCAGCCAAACCACGGCAGGTGGCAGATGTGTGAGAGCCCAACCCACAC